AAAATTTATTTCAGGGTCCAAACTGCTCAGTGTTTATCGTGCTGCTGAAATACTTTAAATAGAGCAATTCTGTGGTTTGAGCGTAGGTTTTTAAGGAAAGCCAAGCCACTGGCCGAGTAGGAGGCAGCGGGGACGCCGCTGGAGCTGGCGCTGCCTTCGGCCTTGATTTTTTTGGAGGTTTCTCCGTGGGTTTGGCTGCAAGGGGATATTTCCCTCGGTTGGGTTTCTCCTTCCGCCGTTCCATAGCCGTGTCAGGGGAGAGATTGAGAGGCCGAGAAAGCTGGCGAACGGGTTCTGCTCACGCGGGGTAAATAAACCTGAGCCCGAGAGGACGTCGTCTCCCCGGTCCGTTTTTTTTCAGGACGGGGTGACCAGGAGCCCAGATCAATTCCCTCGCTAGTGTTTGTTTAGTAAATTAGTTAATAGAAAATGTTGTTTATGATCTCATATTCTTGGTTTTTCCTTCTCTGTCTAGGTCATTTTAAGGAACTAACTTTCGAAATGCTCCTTTGGAGCTTTGTAAGCAGAATTTGAGTTTCCATTCAAGTAACGCGTGGCAGAAATCCCACATAAAAATAAACTAGTTGAAAATTAAAAATCTTTCACTGTTTTCTAATGCACATAAATTTAAGTCAAATGTGTGAATAACGGGATATATTCTTCCTCACCAAAACCTGCGTAGTATCCCGTATTCTCTTGGTTTACAAAAAAAAAAGGGACAAAATACAAGCTCAGCGGCATCGGTGGTGGTTAATGATGGTGGAGAATCTCCCCCCTTAAAAAAATAAAGCCGAGCCTGCAGAAGGGCGACTGCAGTTCAGATTGAGTTTTCGTGCCAGCTGCTTTGAAGTGATGATTATGAGAGGTTTAAATTGCCGTGATTTAAATTCTTCCCGAGCCCCTCTGTGTCTGCAGCAGTGTGTCGATAGTGATGTTTATTTTGCTTTTCCAACCAGCTCTTTTTTTTCTTGCTTTTTTTCTTGTTTTCCTACAAGCTCTTCCTGTTCTTCTTCCCAAGCAATCCCTCCCGCGAAGGCTGTTTCTCCCCTTCTGCCAACGTCTCCCTCCAAATCCCGGACCCGTCTCTATTCCCCCGTGTCGTTTTTGCCGTGCAGGCTATATCCGAGAAGGTTTCCTGGCGGTGCAGCATGCGGTGGACAGAGCCATCATGCAGTACCACGCCAACGCCAGCTCCGCCAGCCTGCTGGAGAACATCACGGTGGTGGTGCAGCGCTTCCCCTACCCGGCGTACGTCAACGACCTCTTCCTCCTCGCCATCCAGAACCAGCTGCCCCTGCTGCTCATGCTCAGCTTCACCTACACCTCGCTCAACATCGTCCGCGCCGTCGTGCACGAGAAGGAGAAGAAGCTGAAGGTAACGTGACATCTGGGTGCTCCCCTCCCTCTGCGGCGTTTCCCAACAGATGCTGCCTTTAAATTAGGAACAAAATCCCCGTCGGGTTTGGAGCCAGCGAGCGGGAGGTGGGGATGGCAGCAGATTAGCAAGTCCCAGGGAGGAATGTCGTTAATCCTGCCGCCGGGACGCGGCTCGGCTCTCCCTGCCGTGCGGCCGAGGCTGCTGGACCGAACGGCTGGTGTTTCTCCTGGGCTGGAAGGTGGCTTGGAGAGAGGGCAACACTTGTGGATTCAAGAGTTCTGTAGATTCAAGAGTTCGGTGTGTGGGAAGCAAGACTTTGGTCTTCTGGATGTAGAAACCCGTGTGTCTGAGTTGGGTTGTGGGGGCGGTTGGAGCTCAGCTGATGTGGTGGTTGCGACAGCAGGGCTTGGCTTCCCCGGGGCTTTGGGTTGTCCTGCCCCGCTGCCGGGTGACCGTGGTGGCTCTGCTGGCCTCAGCTGCTGTGGTTTTGGCTTCAGCACAGCTCTTTGGGGAGATGTCCTCCTGTGGCGGTGGCAGCCCTCTCCAGGGAGGCGGGGGACACTCTGTGATGCAGGACCACTTCGGTGGGACCTGGGGTGCCACCTCCCTCGCCAGTGCTGCAGGGCAAAGCCACCACCACTGTCACCCTGAGTAGGGCCTCCACCTCGCCCCGGCCATGCCCGGGCAGTGTGGGTGCAGCCCTGGGTGACAGCGTGACCTCCCGGCAGGAGTACATGCACATGATGGGCCTCAGCAACTGGTTGCACTGGAGCGCCTGGTTCCTCATGTTCTTCCTCTTCCTCCTGGTGTCTGTGTTTTTCGTCACCGTGCTCTTCTGTGTCAAGGTGAGTGTCTTTCCCCAGGCCACCATTGTGCAGGCCAGAAGCTCTGTGCTGGCAGGGCACAGGGATGACAAGGCTCCTCTGCCGTGGGCTGGACCGTCCTGGTATCTCAGCACTCCTCCACGTGCGTAGCGGAGGCTGGAGTTGGCCTTTTCCAGAGCTCGGTGGGCAGAGCTGCCCCCCACAGCTGCCTTTCACGGCAGGGGTGACCTCCCCAGGAGGGGCTGAGGGGTGGGAGCCCCACGGGCACTGGGGACACCCAGGCGGTCCCATGCAGAGCAGGGCCACCCCGCTCTGCAGCCCTGTGTGCCTTGGAGGGACTTGAGCTCTCCTTTCTGCTTGTACCCACACCAGGAGAAGCAGGAGGTGGCTGCCCGGATGCTCAGCAAGGCCTCTTAGACCTTGCGTCACACAAGGGCGACCCATATTTCTTCCCTCTGGAGTGGTCTAGGAGGGCTTGGGTGTTCTCACCCATCTCTGTTTGTCTTTAACCCATGGAGAACATCAGGTCTCGGCTGCCCGCACGTGCCTGCAGCCGTGGCCGACTTCGCCAGCTCTGGGCGTAACCAGATTTTCTCGGTAGGTGAGCGAACAGGGAGCGGTGCTCACCAACAGCGACCCCACGCTGGTGTTCACCTTCCTCGCCATCTTCTCCATCTCCTCCATCTCCTTCAACTTCATGGTGAGCACCTTCTTCTCGAGAGGTGAGTCCCTCCCCGGCTGCCTCCTCGCATTGCTGACCCGCAGGGCTGAGGGGAGTGTTACGGGCCTCATGCTATAAAATATTTGGTTAGTTTTGGTTGGGAGGCAGCTCTGGAGGTCATCGGTCCATCCTGCTCAAAGCAGGGCCAGCTCCAGAGTTACGTGAGATTGCACAAGGCTCTGCATTGGATAAATTGCTTCGACACGCGGAGGGGGGACCTTTCTTCCCTTTTTTGGCTGCATTTTCCCCACGGTGCATGGGAAGGGATGCATGTACTGTCGCTTCCCAAACCAGACAAGCTCGTGCATTAGGGCATCACCTGGCTGTCTTGGCCCCAGGGCGCTCTGGTCGGGGATGGGCAGGGTGCTTCTGAGGCTGCCCACCGTGGGGTTGGGGTCCAGCGCTGCTCCTGCCTTGCCGTGGGACTTGGGACGTCCTCATCCTGCCCCCCTGTAACCACCCTTTGTGCAAAAGGCTTGAATCTCCGTGGATGGAGAGAAATACTCGGTGGCATCACCGTATTATTGACGTTTTCCCTCCTGCTTTTCTCTGTGCTGGCAGCAAACGTTGCGGCTGCCGCTGGCGGCTTCCTCTACTTTTTCTCCTACATCCCTTACTTCTTCATCTCGCCCCGCTACGACCTGATGTCCCACAGCCAGAAGCTGGCGTCCTGCCTCATCTCCAACGTGGCCATGGCCATGGGGGCACAGCTTATAGGCATGTTCGAAGGAAAAGGTGAGGAAATGCCTCCCGTCCCTCGGGAGGGGAGGTAGCCTTTTTTTGTGGTGCGTTGGGACTGGCTTGTGTGTGGGGTAAAGGGTGGAGAGAAGTCAGGGAGAAGCACTTTCCTGCTCCTAACGAGAGCAGGAGGGCTAATTGCTGATTGCTCCCACAGGTTTTATCAGCACCAGGGCTCTGCCCCTCCGAACCCATGCCCCTGGCAGTCTGGGCTGTGCAAAATGCCATCATCGCTTTAATTACCAGGCGAATTCTGTTCTAAGGGATGGGAATCTGTTGCGTTTCCTCCTTGCCAATATATATCTTTAATTTCTATGTTAATAAGAATTTGCTGTTGGTTCCAGCAGCGGCCACGCTATTGCAAAGTGGCGGCGCTAAAAAGGCGGCTGCGGTGACAGGGGGGCAATGGCTGGAGAAGAGTTTGCTTCTTCCCAGGGCAGGTGCAGAAGATGTGATGGAAGAAGCGTGATGGGGTGGGGAGCCTCGAGATGTCAGCGCCCTTTCTGCTGCGTCTTTTCCCTCTATCTATAGAAGGGACTGTAGAGCCGTGCACGTGCTCCTCGTTACCCAGCAGTGAATTAGGACAGGAATGCTCTCTGACAGTCTTGGAGAGCACTTTGTCCTTCTGGGGATGCAGAGGTAGGCAGTACCCCGTGCGCGTTGCAGGGACCGGCATTCAGTGGAGGGACCTCCTGAAGCCCGTCAGCGTGGACGACAACTTCACCTTGGCCCAAGTGCTGGGGATGCTGCTCCTGGACTCGGCGCTCTACGGCATGGTGGCCTGGTACGTGGAGGCCGTCTTTCCAGGGGAGTACGGCGTGCCTCAGCCGTGGTACTTCTTCTTGACGGTGAGCACTGCTTACGCACCCCTTCCAGCAGGCTTGATGGGTGTCTCCTGGGGATGGTCCCCACTTCTGTGCTATGCAGTGGGCTAGACTAACGTACAAGGGTGGCACCATGTGGCCTCCAAAATCAAGGGATCTGTCCTCAGTAAAGGCAGATGCAGCTGTATTTTTTTACTGAATATGAAGGTCTTCTTGGCTTTAAATCTTTGTCCTGACACTTGTTGGCGTGCAGGGTGTTGTGGAGTGTCTCCGTGCCCCAAGCGAAGGCATTGGAGAGAAGCCTGAGGTGTGAGCAACCAGATCCAGTCATTCGAAACTCCTCAAGTGCTGCCATCCGGGCGGACCTGGGTGGTCTGCGTCCCGCTGCCAGCCCCCACGTGCTAGTACCAGGGGATGGGTGATGACTGTCACCCCGTCAGCTGAGCTGCCCTCATTCTGCCAAGTCAAATGCTTGGCATCATCTTCAGCGGCTGTAGCTGCGGTGGTTACTGCAGCTCAGCTGGCTGCTGAGGATTCGTTAAGCCACAGGGACACAATCAATTTTGATCCTGTGGCCGTATCCCTTGTTATTTGATCAGGAGGTTTTTCCTCCTCCCCTCTGAATTCCTTATCCCAGTGTGGTTTTGCAGCTAGACCAGGGTAGCAGAGATACAGCTGTCTGCCAGAAGCCACAGCGGGATGCTGATTTTGGGTCCAGGAGTTGTTGAATTGCTATTTCCACAGCGATTTTAGGTCCTGAACACTTATTTTCATTCCTGGAGAGCCTGGTCAAAAAAAAGGCTGTGATTGCAGCAGCTGGACCCCAGGCTTCTTGTATTTAGTGTCTGTCAAGGTTTTTGGAGGGGGTGATCCTCCATTGCGCGTGGGCTCGTCTAGGCAGGGTGCTTCTGCCTGAGCAATTTTGCTTCTCATCGAAATACTGACCTTTTCCATGGGAATGAAGACGGGGAAAAGCTGCCTGTGTAATCACGGGCAATCCTGCTGTAAGGGAGAACCAGGGGAAGGCAGCAGGGCAGGAGGAGCAGTTTCATCCTCTGTCTGACCTGCCCGCTGAAGATGTGCTGGTTGGCAATTCCCAGGCCAAGGAGAGTGGTCTTGCAGATCCCTGGGAGGCATCTCTGTGGGAGGAGGAGGGTGGACAAGGCTGGCGGGGTCTCTGCCTGTGCCTGAGTTTCTCTCTCTCTGCCTTCTTCCATCAGCCCTCGTACTGGTGCGGGCGCCCCAGGACTGTGGTGGGAAAAGAGAAGGAGGAGGAGGAGGACCCCGAGAAAGCCCTGAAGAGCCAGTACATTGAGGAGGAACCTGCCGACCTCGTGTCGGGAATCAAAATAAAGCACCTTTCCAAGGTACCGACTGCCCGCCACAGCACAAACACCTCATAATGTTGTTTTTGTAAAAACTGCTGCCTGCAGGCAGCTTCCTAATCATTTTGCTGCCCTCCTCGCCCAGGGCTGTGTTGCTTGGCTGCTGTAAGGCAGGGAAGGCTCTTCCCCAGAGCTCGCTGCATTTTGTTGCAGACTGAAGTGTTAGGTACTTGCAGGTGCAGTGACATCTATATTTAACCTGAATTAGACCTGTTGTCTAATGCCGACACCACGTGAGCGTCACGGGCTTTGACTGCCGGGTGGAGCCGAGGGGGAAGATCTGAGAGCACTTTCCTCGAGTGCAGCATCAGCTCGTTAACGTGATCTCCGCAGGTCTTCAAAGTGGGAAACAAGATGAAAGAGGCAGTCAAGGACTTAACGGTGAACATGTATGAAGGGCAGATCACCGTCCTGTTGGGACACAACGGTGCTGGGAAGACCACCACTCTGTCCATGCTCACAGGTAGGAGCTGTCTCCTGCTGTGAGGCTGGCACGTGGCAGGGAAGGGCTGATGGCTTGACTTGCAAAGGGGAGCTGAACCCCATCTCTGAGGCTGGGGAGGGGTTTTTGCTCTGCCGTGGAGCACTTCGGTTCACTGAGCTGTTGGCCAGGGATCCCGGGGTAGTGAGAGGCATGTCACTGCCTGGGGAGGTGGAGGGAGGTTGGGGGTCCCTGCTCAGCCCTCCACAAGAGTGGGATCAGCCGGCAGGGGAAATGACAGCCAGACTTTGCGTTGGAGAGCCCTGAGAAAGAAAGGACCCGCTGTAACATGGGTCTTTGTAGGCTTTGTCATGATAAGGCAGAGAGGGCACGGGCCAAGAACTGGTCTTCATCATTCCCCAGCTGCTGAGCTCCGGGCAGCCTATTTTGGCACGGTGGACATGGTGACCTTTGATGGTCCTTTCTTCCCTGTTCTCTGTCACTCTGTGCTGCTCCTGCCAGCCCGGGGTGCTCACAGGACCTTCCCTGGAGGTCTGCCCTGGCCTTGCCTGGACCTCTGCCAGGCTGAGAGCCAGGCTTGCCTGCCGCTTCACTGCTTGCCCGCTCGCGCTGGCAGCACTGCCGGGTCCGCTCCTGCCTATGGATGCCACGCAGCCCACCCAGGAGAAAGCTGCCGTGCCCCAGCTTGAGCAAGAGACAGTCTCGCTCCGACTTTTGGCAGAAAGCTGCGTGTGGGGGGGGATGCTCTGCAGGACCCCCACCTTTCTGCCGGCTCTTTGCCACCCGGGGTTATCCTCAGCCCTGAGCCGAGGCCGCTGTGTCCCGCTCCTCCCAGGTCTGCACTCTCCGACGGGCGGGCAGGCGTACATCAACGGCTACGAGATCTCCCAGGACATGGTCCTGATCCGCCGCAGCCTGGGCCTGTGTCCCCAGCACGACGTCCTCTTCGACAACATGACGGTGGAAGAGCACCTCCACTTCTATGCAGGGGTGAGCACGGCGCTTGGGGGAGCGCTGCTGGGCCCCGGGGAGCCAGGCCTGGGGGGGCACCCTGCAGCCACCCTGTGGCTTCCTGAGGCTGGGAAAGCATGGTGAGATCCATCAAGCGGGTCCAGAGGAGGCCACAGAAATGATCAGAGGGTGGAACACCTCTCCTATGAAGAAGGGCTGAGAGAGTTGGGGTTGTTCAGCCTGGAGGAGAGAAGGCTCCGGGGAGACCTTATTGCAGCCTTTCAGTACTTAAAGGGGCTTATAAGAAAGATGGGGCCAGACTTTTTAGCAGGGCCTGTTGCGACAGGACAAGGGGGAATGGTTTTAAACTAAAAGAGGGAGATTCAGACTACCCCTGAATTCAGGAAGAATTTTTTTACAACGAGGGTGATGAAACACTGGCACAGGTTGCCCAGAGAGGTGGTCAATGCCCCATCCCTGGAAACATTCAAGATCAGGTTGGACGGGGCTCTGAGCAACCTGGTCTAGTTGAAGAAGTCCCTGCTCATTGCAGGGGGTTGGACTAGATGACCTTTAAAGGTCCCTTCCAACCCAAACCATTCCATGATTCTATGACAAGCAGAACAGCCCTTGCCTCCTCTTTCCACCTCATCCACAGGCAGGAGCTCCCTGCTTGGCTGATGGAGGAGTGGAGGGTTGCGGGCAGCGTGGCCCTGCGGAAACCCCCACGCCAGCTGTGCCAACTCCTTCAGGATTGGGCAGGAGTCCATCCCTGTTCTTCCCCACTTTCCTGCCTGGCTGTGGAGGAAGGAGTGTGGTGGGGTTTAGCAGCTGGTGGCTGATGTGGTGGGAAGCATCTTTGCCAGATTCACTTACCCCTGCCCTGTCTGACAGCTGAAGGGGTACCCACCCTCCAAGTGCCCCGAGGAGATCAACCACATCCTGAGGATCCTCAACCTGGAGGACAAACGCCGCGCTCTGACCAAGGCGCTCTCCGGCGGCATGAAGCGCAAGCTCTCCATTGGCATTGCCCTCATTGGGGACTCCAAGGCAAGCATCTTCAGTGGGGCTTACCTTGAACCTTTCTCCCTGGAGCCACCGTAGGTCCTTCTGGTGGCCCTGAGGTTGTTCCTCATCCGTGGTGAGCGAGTGGGAAGTGCAGGGACAGCAAGGAGGGGGCAGGAGCATCCCCACAAAGGGGGACAACTCTGAGGACAATGCCCTGAGGCTGCAGTGCAGCTCTGCTGCCTGGTAGCTGCTCCCCTGAGCAAGATCATCGCGTGCATGTCGCGAGGTCAAGGCTCCTTCTGGGCCCTGGGGTTGCCCCCTCCTGCGCTGTTGTGCCTCTCTCAGCCCTTTTTGACCAGCACCCACCTCCTGTGTGCAGGTGGTGATGCTGGATGAGCCAACGTCAGGGATGGACCCAGCCTCTCGCAGGGCCACGTGGGACCTCCTGCAGCAGCAGAGGAGCAACCGCACCATCCTGCTGACCACCCACTTCATGGATGAGGCTGACCTGCTGGGGGACCGCATAGCTATCATGGCCAAGGGCGAGCTGCAATGCTGCGGCTCCTCGCTCTTCCTCAAGCGTAAATACGGTAAGGGAGGAGCAGGCAGGCCGTGCTCGATGTCTTCTCCTTGCCAGGGAGGAGCAGGAGGGGGATATAGGGCAGGGAAGGGGACCCCTTGCTCCTTGTCTGATGGCTGCTTGCTCCCCGTCGTGCTGTTCTGCCTCTTCTGAGGCCCGTCCCCACACTTGCTCCTGCATCGTGTCCATAGCCCGGGCAAAGCCATCAGTGCTCTGCGGTGCCTTAGCATCCCTCTCCGCTCCAGCACCCCAGGGCCAGGCTGGGCTGCCATTTACCCTCCTCTCCCTTCTCTTGTGGCTCTGCCCAGGGGCAGGATATCACATGGTGATGGTGAAGGAGCCCTACTGTAACCTGGGGGAGATCTCCCGCCTCATCTGTCAGTACGTGCCCAACGCCACCATGGAGAGCAACGCCGGGGCAGAGCTGTCCTTCATCCTGCCCAAGGAGAGCACGCACAGGTAACGGCATCGTCCCCTGCTTGCCCTCCCCGGGTGGGTCCTCTTGTCTGCGTGCACTGGGGCACACACTGTCGTCACGGGCTTGCTGGAAAGGGGAGCTGCTCTCTGCATCAGCGCTGGTCTTGGAAAAGCGGGTTCGGTTCCTCCTTTCACTGCCGTCCTCCCCGGTGTCTGCTGGTACATCACTCTCGTGCCCCCATGCCCACCGTGTCGGTGTCCGTGCAGCAACTACGCGAGACAGCGCTGGTTGCTGGTAGCTGGTGACGGCAGGTGTGGAGGGTGGCACGAACGACGCAGGCTGGTTTGGCTCCGAAATCAAATATATGGAGAGCTGAGACTGCCTGTGGCAAGAAAGAGCAGAAGATGGAGCCCAGAAGCTGCTCTTGGGGAGAGTGGGCTGCTTAGTGCTGCAGGCAGCCCCGGAGCAGGCTGCAGGACTCAAACCAGCTGCAGGACCGATGCCCAGAGGGTCTTAACCTCTGAGTGCCCCCTCTCGTGAGCGTCAGCGTCTAGCACCTCGCTTCTCCTGTCAGGTTTGAGGCCCTGTTCACGGAGCTGGAGCAGAAGCGGGAGGAGCTGGGCATCGCCAGCTACGGTGCCTCGGTCACCACCATGGAGGAAGTCTTCCTGAGGTAGGCAGGAGGGAGACTGGCCCCGGTGGGGTGTCATCTGGTGATGACCAGTCTCCATGTGTTTCGGTGACGGCAGTGTCCTACACAGCTCTCTGGGGCACGTGTTGGGTTTTTTTCTCTTGGGTTTGGCTTCCCCAGCTCAGAACAGTTTGATCCTACCTGGGTCTGCATTTCATCACCCGCTTTCCCTCCCGGCGCAGGGTTGGGAAGCTTGTGGACTCCAGCATGGATATCCAAGCCATCCAGCTGCCTGCTCTCCAGTACCAGCACGAGAGACGCTCCAACGACTGGGCCATGGATGATTCCAGCAGCCTGAGCGGCATGACAGATATGACGGACGACAGCGGGGCGCTCATTACGGAGGACTGCTCCAGCATCAAGCTCAACACCGGGGTGAGTGCTGGGGGTGTCGGTGCAGCAGGAACGGGGAGAGGGCATGTGAAGGGGGTTTTCCGGAGCGGGGTTACCAGGTGGAGCCTCCCCCGTGGCTGGTTTCGTTCCACATGGTTTGGAAGATCAAATTGGAAGGTCAAATTGGAATCCGCATCTTTAAGGCAAATTATTTTTAGGGTTTTTGGGGGTGGTCACTGCCATCCTCTTCGTGTTAAGCTTGAGGTCTACAGAGGTGCTCTTGAAGGTGTCCCAGGTGATCTAAAGTGGTTTTCACCTGCCGTTGCTACATCACTTGGGATTTCCAGTAGGGAGGTGAGAAAAACCATCTTCCTTCCCTCGCTAGGCTCGTGTTTCAGATCCCTGGCAGCCCTTCATGGCCCGCTGCCTGTGCGCCTGTGATAAATTTCCCCGCGCTTCTCAAGGGCATGTCTCAAAGGCAGAAGAGGAGAAAGATGTTTCAGGGTTTAAAAAGCAAAGAAGGTGCTTGCAGGGGCCGGGCGGGGAGCTCCCAGGCGTCTCAGCCCAGTCGCTTTGGCAGGCAGCCGTGTTGCAATAATCCTATTTGTGAACCTCAAATGCTAAGAGGTGGAGGAAGGTAAAGGTCATGGCTGAAGCTGCTTTTGACGCCTGAGATCCCAAAGTGACTGCATCCCGTTGGGAAGCCTGGAGTTTGATGGGCTGACCTGCTGTGCTGGAGTCAAGCAGCTGCCCTGCTAATCCCTTTACAGGCTTGGCTGGAGAGGAGGCTCTGCTGCGGGCTCGTGGGCTACATGCAGGACGGGGAGGTGGTTTTGGGGTCGTTCCTCCCATCAGCTGTGTGGGGTGATGTGGCCAGCGGGGTTGTCCACAAGGCTCGCGTTGACCTGACTTCTCCCTTCCCAGTTCTACCTGTGCTGCCAGCAGTTCTACGCCATGTTCATGAAGCGAGCCATGTACAGCTGGCGCAACTGGAAGATGGTGGCAGCGCAGTTCCTTGTGCCTCTGATCTTCACTGCCTTTGCCCTCATCGTGGCCAAGACCTTCCCGGGACCCAGAGACTCCTCCCTGCTGAGGCTGACGCTGGAGCCCTACGGCCAGACCATCGTGCCTTTCTGCATCTCGGATGCCTCGGGTCTGTCGCAGAGGTTGGCGGAGCAGTACGTGGAGCTGCTGGACGCCCAGCGTCAGTCACCGCTGGAGGTGCTGGGTGAGGGTTCATGGAGCACCCGTGGAGCAGGCGATGCCTGGTGGGGTGTGCAGGAGCCACGGGCTTCTCTTGCCAGGGCGCTCGGTGTGGGTGGCGCAGGTCCCAGCTGCGGTGTATCTGATGTATCCCCTTGTATCCTCTCCTGCATGGGAGAGTCCCACAGTTGGCAGGACCCCTCCTCACGCAAGCAGAGCTGTTTTCTCCATAACCCTGAGTTTGTGGCCATCATCGGGGCTAGGGTGGGCCACCAGGACTGCGGCTGCTTGGGGGCTTTTCCAGTTGGCCCCAGTTAGCTCTCATGTGATGGAGCCTGCTTGTAACAGCGTGGTGTTTGGCAGATGGCCTGGAGGAGTACCTCATCTCAAAAGCCTCTGAGGAAGGGGGAGCCTTCAACGAGCACTACATCGCAGCCGCCTCCTTCGAAGGAGCCGGGAACCGCACGGTGGTCACCGCGCTCTTCAACAACCAGGCGTATCACTCCCCCGCCACGGCCCTTATGCTGGCCGACAACGCTGTCTTCAGGGTACTGGCGGGCCCCAACGCCTCCATCACGGTCACCAACTACCCTCAGCCCCGCAACATCACCGAGAAGGCCAAAGACCAGCTCATGGAGTACGTCTGATGGCACGGCGCTTGCTTTCCTGCTAGGGCTCGTGAATTCCGTGGGTGCGGATTGGCTTGGTTGTACTGGAGTCAGTGGAGGAGCCAGGCTGGAGCTTCTCAGACCCAGACGTAGTTTTGATTGTACTCAAGAGGTCAGGAGAGCAAAGCTGTGTAGATGACTTACCTGCCTGAGCCTGGCAGCCATGTCACCCCTTGCACATACCCCAGTGGTTGGGTATTCCCCTCTAGATACTGGTTGGGGTTGGTTTTCCCCGGGTGTTCAGAGCAGAGGGGGCTGTATGGCCGTCCACTTCATGAAGTCCTGCATCCAGGGTCTCTGAACCTCACCTGTACCAGAGGGGACACGCGCGGGACCCCGCAAAGGCAGGGTGGAGATTTGTGGTGTGCTAGATGGGCTGTGCGTGGGAGGTGCTCATCTTACCGAGGTGCGCTTTTATTGTGGGGTGTTTCTTCTGCAATGCTGGCTTGCTGGGGGAGCGTAGCCTCCACAAGAAGCACGGTGTGGGCGTGCTGTCCCTGCGTAGCCTGAGCGTTAGTTTGTCAAGCTGTCCCTGTCCTAACCTGCCCCGCTGTTCTCCCCGCAGAGGCCAGACCGGGTTCGCCATTGCCATCAACTTGCTGTACGGCATGGCCTCCCTCGCCAGCACCTTCGCTCTGCTGCTGGTCAGCGAGCGGGCCATCAAAGCCAAGCACGTCCAGTTTGTCAGTGGCGTCTACGTGGTCAACTTCTGGCTTTCTGCCCTGCTCTGGGACATCATCAACTTCCTCATCCCTTGTGCTCTGATGCTGGTGAGTCACCCCTGACACCCTGATACCCTCCTGTCCTCCCCTTGGGTGGGAGCTCTGGGTGCTGCTCCTCTGGGAGAGCTGGGATGTGTGTGGGTGCAGGAAAAAGGATGAGGCCACTGGCATTGTCTCAGTTAATAGAAAGGGCCAGCAAGAAAGCTGTCCCTTGGTCCTGCTGGGAGCCGGGCCATGGCCAACCAGCCGGGTCGGTTGACTGCAGCCCCTGGCACCTGAACACTTGGGTGTAGAAAATCTCAAATACGTGGGAGCATGGGGAGGAATTCTCCAGATCTGCCCTTCTGCATCCCAGTCTGCAGAAAGAGGGCTTCCCTTGGGGACAGGCATGGGCTGCTGGTAGGAACCATCTGTGAGGGGTTCTCCGGGTCAGTGTGGTGCTGCCGTTACCTTGCTGCCTGGGCTGTTGAGACAAGGAGACATCGCTTGTGGTCCAGGCAAATATGCATTCTCCTCGCATTGCTGTGCCTCAGGTGATATTCCAAGCCTTTGACGTGCAAGCCTTCACCCAAGACAGCCACCTCGTTGATGTGATGCTGATCTTCCTCCTTTATGGCTGGGCCATTATCCCCCTCATGTACCTCCTCAGCTTCTTCTTCTCGGTGGCAGCCACGGCCTACACCCGTCTCACCATCTTCAACATCCTCTCAGGCACGGCCACCTTCCTCGCAGTCACCATCATGAGCATCCCAGGTGGGTCGCTTCCCTCCGTGTCTGCCCAGCACTGCACCCTGCCGTCACCAAGAAGATCCAGCCCCCAAGGGGACTCTTTCACCCCCGGGCTGTCCCCACACTAGCAAAAAAACCCAATGACAGTCCATTCTCACCCATTAAACGTGACAAAAATTGTTGGTTTTTCTTCTGAACTTGGAAATATCAGGGTCTTTCTCTAAAACCAGCTAACTCCAATCTGTTGATCTTCCTGTGCTCCTCTTTCAGAGCTGGGCTTGGTGGATCTCTCCAAAACCCTGGATAAAGTCTTTCTTGTCTTACCCAATTACTGCTTGGGCCAATGCATCAGTGACTTCTACCAGAATTACGAGTTCATTCAGTTTTGTACCTCCTCCGTTGAAGCCATCTTCATCTGCAAGGCATTCAGTGAGTCTCTGTGTTGGTCCTAAGCTGCCCATCCTGGCCTTCCCACCATAGCTACACTGGGGGGGTCTCTGTGGGGTGGGTAGTGGAGCTGGGCAGTATCATGGGGCCTCTAATCCTGGGCAGTAGCTCCAGGTACCATTTTAAAGCAAAAACTGGGCAGCCTTTGACACTCATAGGTGATCCAATTAAGGAATCTTTTCCTTACTAATGATTTGGAGGAAAACGTGGGCTAGGGGAAGTTTCACAGACAAGTAAAGAAATCCCAGTCCCAAGAGTGACTTGATCTCCTCTGCGTGCCTCCACTGGGCATCTTCTGCCAGATCCCCTCCAGACCTGAATCCTCTTGTGGGAAGCGTTGGAAAGAGCTGTGGGCAGGGAGGCAGTGTGGACTGGGATGGAGATGAGGCTGGCAAAGCTTTGGGCTCACAGCTTTCTCTGGAGCTTATCTGCCCCTCCCCAGGGTGTGGATTGATCCAAGTCTTGATTTTGTTCCATCCCTGCTCAGATATCAGTTATCAGATGAACTATTTTTCCTGGGAGACACCTGGGATCGGACGATACCTGACCTCCTTGACCATCCAGGGTTTCTCCTTCCTCTTCCTCCTTTTTCTCATTGAGACAAACCTTCTCTGGAGACTGAGAACTTTGGTCTGTGGCATCTGCAGGCGGCGCAAATGGGTGAGCTGAAGCGTGTGGGAGGGAGAAGTAAGGTGCCCTTCAAACCAAGCCCAGGAGTCCCTGCGAGCTGGAGACAGGCTCTCTTCACCTAAATCATCTTCCCAGGGAGCATCCCTGGAGCAGGTTGCTTGGAGGGGCCGATCCTGTTGAATGTATGGGTTGGCAAAGGGAAGCGAGGCATCCTCAGAGGTGGCTGATCGAAGGGATGGATCCTGCCTGGGTTGGGGGCACTGGAGGGACCCATTTGTCCCACAGCAGCTAGGTGGCAAAGAGTGTTTTTTCTCCCCCGTGTTTAGGTGGCACTGCTGAACAGGGTGTCTGTGCTGCCAGAGGACCGGGACGTGGCAGATGAGAGGAAGAAGGTTTTGGAGTCGCCACCAGAACTGCTGTCATCTCTCAGCAGCCCTCTGGTCATCAAGGAGCTCACCAAGGTGAGGAGAGCTTGGCCCTTCCTGAGCATCCTGCTGCCAGCCGAGCTGTGGTCCTCATGGGGCTGGTAAAGCCACCCCTTGCCTTGCCATCGGGCGGTGACCAGCATGGCTTGTGTGTTGGTCTCCACCAGGTCTACGACAGCCGGGAGTCCCTGCTGGCAGTGGACAGGATCTCCTTAGCGGTCAGCAAAGGGGAATGCTTTGGCCTTCTTGGCTTCAATGGAGCGGGCAAAACCACCACCTTCAAGATGCTGACTGGTGACGAGAGCATCACATCAGGGGATGCCTTTGTGGATGGCCACAGCATTCTGGCCAACATCAAGAAGGTACCGAGGGCTGCAGGGGCGGAGGGCAGCGTTAGAAACAGTCCTGCGTCTGCCTGGGCTGGGCCACCTTGCAGGTGCCTCTGAGGAGGACACGGTTGCAGTTGCCAGGGGTGCAGGTAATATCCCAGGGACGTTGCGTCCTTGTCTGGCCTAGCTCTCCGTTATCTGGCCACGTAGAAGCAGTCCCCTCTCCGCTGGGATGATAGATGTGAAACAAATAGAAGCCAAACCTTGCGAGGGTGGCAAACCCTTCAACGAAGGGTTTAGCCCTGTAGTTGGAAATGTGAAAAATGCGAGTTAGTGATCACAGTCGGATGACGGTCTCTAACACAAGAGGTCGAACCTTTCCAGACCCCTGCTAGAGGTCTCCTTGCTGGGAATTGCCCACTCCCTTTGGAAAAGCAAGAGAAGAGCAGGGGTCAGGCTTTCAGTTCGGTCCCTGGATATCTACCACTGTCAACCCCAGACAACGTCAGGCAAGGAGAACATGGGGAGGGTCTGCCCTGAATGCATGGCCCTCCTGGCTTCCTCCCCTTCTGTTGGGCTCTTGTCCCCAGAGGGGACCAGGATATGGGGAAGGCACAGACCCCCCCAGTGCTTCTCCTGAGAGCCTGGGCCACCTGAAATGGCCCCTCACGATGAGGAACCAGCTTGGGAAACGCAGCGTGAGACCACGCAGTTGCCATCCCGAGGCGCGCTGCGTGTGTCCATCCCCGCCAGACCCGCTGCTCCAGCGATGGGCGAATTTCCCTCTTGTTTCTCCTGCGGTTTCGGAGCTGCAGCTCAGTCCCCATCGCTTTGAGCAAAAACCTTGCAGGGGTGCAACAAAGCCCCGTGGGTGCCAAGGCACCTTCTGGCTTGGACACCTCCTTGCAGAGACCTGCCTGTGAGCTAATCACCGTTGGGTTCCTCTTGCCCCAAGGTCCAGCAGCGGATCGGCTACTGCCCGCAGTTCGATGCCCTCCTGGACCACATGACGGGCCGCGAGACCCTGAGCATGTACGCCCGGCTGCGGGGCATCCCCGAGCGCTACATCGGCAGCTGCGTGGAGAACATGCTGAGAGGGCTGCTCCTGGAGCCCCACGCCGACAAGCTCGTGAGGACCTACAGGTGAGGGGAGATGTGGAGACACCCCATGCCCTCTGCCCCTCGTCTTGTGGGGCTCTCCCTGCGCTCACATCGGGTCTCTGTCCCCATTCCCGTCTCCTTCCGCAGTGGTGGTAACAAGCGGAAGCTGAGCGCTGGCATTGCCCTCATCGGTGGTCCCCCCGTGATCTTCCTGGATGAGCCCTCCACCGGCATGGACCCCGTGGCCCGACGTTTGCTCTGGGACGCAGTGACGCGGACGCGGGAGTGTGGCAAATCCATCATCTTCACCTCCCACAGGTGACACTTGTCCGGGCAGGGCTTGGCCTGAGAGATCGGGGAGCAGCCAGGAGGGTGGTGGGCTCCAGGGGATGGGACCCACCTCCAGATCCTGGTGGGTGGGCTGGCTCCACCCAAATCTCCCTCCTCCGAAAGCCCGGAGAGGAGACAATCCACCTCCAGCCCCTTTCCAGAAGCTTCTGCTGTTTTGCCTCGGTGCTGCTTGCCCCGCTGAACAAGTCCTCTCCTGCCCTGCAGCATGGAGGAGTGC